CGGACCTCCCTGGTGGCTAAACATGTTATGATGAGGCATGTTGTTTCCGAGTCGAGGCTTCACGGCCGACTGAAGGAGGCCGAGTCCACAGTTAGGGAAGCGCTGGCTACCAATGCTAAGGTGATGGCCTCGACTGAAGATTTGAAGAAGGCCGCCGACACCCACCAAAGAGAGGCCGATGACCTGAAGTTGGTCATACAGAAGTTGAAGGCCGAGGCTGCTGGGTATGAGAGTGAGATTGCTCGGCTGAAGGCAGAAGCTGCTAAGTTCGAAGTCGAGGCTACGGACAAGATTTTAGAGCAGCATGACGCGGGATTTAGGCATGTTGTTCGGCAAGTATATCATTATTGCGAGGTCCCGGCTGATTTCAACTTTGATGTTAGTCGGGACTTTTATGGGGGTAAATTCATAAGTTATGATGAATTCCCTCAAGGGGCCGAGCCGGATGCCGAGGCCCCCGGTCGAGGTATCTCAACCCAGTCTTCAGTGCCGCCAACTGAGGAGGAAGATGATCCGATCATCGACGTGGTCGGCCAAGGGGATCCGGAGAGTTCGGCCCAAGTGTAATGGACTTTTTATTATTTTTTTGAGTAACCGGGCCGTTAGTGCCTTTTTGTAACTATGGCCTTTGGTGCCGGTAGGTTCAGATTTTTTGTAAGCAGCCGGATAGGTCGGCCATACTTTAATGAATTTAACCCTTTGCGTTAATCTTTTGGCTTGTTTATTTATCAGTGAAATTTAACTGCGTACTTAGCCAAGCGGGGAGGGGGGAAGTTTTAGCGCTGGCGCTGGGTAACGAGAGTTAAACTCGGACGCATTCGGGCTCGACGCTTTCGGTTTCGGGTTGTGCAATAGTATTCGGAGTGAGCGTTGAATTACTCATCGTGTAGTTTGGTTAAGGTGCGTTGTGTTGAGAATGATATCGGTCAGTGTGTTCGGTAGTTGTAGCGTTCGGTGTCGGGATGGGCGTTATTTTCGAATGGCAGCGTCTGATTGCCCCGTATTCGTAATTACCCTAGCGTGGTCGGTGTTGGTGCGCAATCTAGTGCTTGTCTGAGGTACGTCCTTAGCCGAGGAGGGTACTCGGGAGGGAAACCTATAGGGCTTGATTGCACCGTTTTAGGTGGTCGGTCGAATGTTGTTTCGGCGTGATTGTTTGGCGTAGTGTTCGGCCTAGGTACATTCTTAGCCGATGAGGGTACTCGGGAGGGAAACCTGTATGACTCGATTACACCGTTAAGTGGTCGGTCGAACGTTGTTTCGGTGTGATTGTTTGGCGTAGTGTTCGGCCTAGGTACATCTTTAGCCGAGGAGGGTACTCGGGAGGGAAACCTGTATGGCTCGATTACACCGTTAAGTGGTCGGTCGAACGTTGTTTCGGCGTGATTGTTTGGCGTAGTGTTCGGCCTAGGTACATCCTTAGCCGAGGAGGGTACTCGGGAGGGAAACCTGTATGGCTCGATTACA